TGTCGCTACCCGGCGCTGGTCCGGGCGGGGAGCCGGGATGGAGCAGGGGAGGGAGCCGGGAGGGGAGCGGGGATGGAGCCGGGATGGAGCAGGGGAGGGAGCCGGGAGGGGAGCGGGGATGGAGCCGGGATGGAGCAGGGGAGGGAGCCGGGAAGGGAGCGGGGATGGAACAGGAGAGGGAGCCGGGATGGAGCCGGGAAGGGGGCGGGGATGGAACAGGAGAGGGAGCCGGGATGGAGCCGGGAAGGGACCGGGGAGGGAACCGGGGGGGGAGCCGGGATGGAGCCGGGATGGAGCAGGGGAGGGAGCCGGGAGGGGAGCGGGGATGGAGCCGGGATGGAGCAGGGGAGGGAGCCGGGAGGGAGCTGAGCCAGAGTCTGAAGTTGAGACAGATCCAGGGATGGAGCCAGGGATGGAGCTGGGGAGGGAGCCAGTGATGGAGATGGAGCTGTGGAGGGAGTGGGGATGGAGTCAGGATTGGAGCCGGGCGGGAGCTGGGAGCTACAGATGAAGCTGAGCCAGAGATGGAAACAGGGACAGACCCATGGACAGACCCAAGATGGACCCAGGGATGGAGGCAGAAATGTATCCAGGGCTGGAAGCAGAGGCAGAGCTGGAGGTGGCACCAGAGCCAGGGCTGAGGTTGGCGGTGGAGCTGGCGCCAGGGCCGGAGTGGGACCCCCGCAGCCTCGCAGGGCTCACACGGCCTCTACCTGCACTGCGTTTGCCCCAAAACCACAACGGTGGCTGCAATGGGAGGGAGGCTGCCCACACACACGGTGCTCACACCCCGCCGGGTGCCCCTTTAGACCAGGTGCATCTGCCCGTGGCGATATCTGCCCCTTTGCAGCCCCCTGCCCTGGCAGCGCGGACAGGGGTGATGAATCTCGCCCGCCTTGTGCCAGGCACGGCCTCCCAGTGCCGTAATTAGAAGCAGTAACCACCAAAGCCGGGTGCTCTCCCAGTGCTCACTTGCCGTCCCCACACGAGCAGGGAATTCTGTGGGAAAAACGACCCATCTCTGCCCCAAACCTCTGGAGCAGCATCTGCTCTGGGGCAGCAGCACGGAGCAGCCCAGCCCCTGCACCCATGGACCCCCCCTCGCACTTTGGGGGCACATGGCCCCCCCAGTGCCACCATCTGGTGACAAGTGACTCCAGTGGCTGCAGGACCCCCCCTTCAGGGCTCCTTGGATCCATAGCCCCCCTGCCACTGCCCGCCGCAACGTGCCCGTTTCCTGCCCTTGCTGCCTTTTCCCC